GTGTTAACTTGTTTACGTTGTTGTTGTTTATTCTGTAAACAGAGGCTGATGTTGTTCATTAGCGAATTGCTACAAACTTCAGATGAAGTTTTTGTTGTAGCGTAGCCAACTGCGTCGTCCACAATGACTACGAATTACATATAAAATCCATATTTGGCTTCAAAAGTGAAAGTGAAAGTAAAACTGCCTTTAAGGTGAGCGAAGGAGAGGTCGGGGGGACGGGGGGGAGGGAGCAGTGTGTGGGAACGGAACCATGCTCAGTGCACCTCAGTGGAACCATGGGGCCTAGCGGATTCGAACCTGCAACCTTCTGCAACCAAATAGAAAATTATTTTGTTAAAATCCACAAATAATGACATGTCAACACAGTGATTTTTTTTCCGGGGGGGGTTCATTCATATATAGTATATTTGTGCTTAGTCAGAATGGCTTTTAAGATGGGCAAAATAATGAACTTACAGATGCTACACCAGGAATATGTTTATAACGTACCCTCGTTCCCACTGAAACAGAAACACAGAGGAGGTGAAGTGATGTGTTCACTGAGACATCAGTCATCTCTGTGTCGCTGATCTTCAGATTAATGTATTACTTCCTTGTTTATTTCACTTCCCCCACCCTCAGGCGGTGTTGCTAACTGCACCTCTGAGTACTCCGTGGCACTCGATGTGAAATACACCTTTTATTTAAAACCACAAGAAAGAAAAAAAAATCAGAATGCGTGACATTTGAACAAATTCAAACAAATGAGAACACCAAGGTTCCTCCAAACTCATCCCGTTGTCCCGGGGGGCAAAGAAAAAAGCCATTAGTTCCCCCCCCTGTACAGAATCACACGAAGGGGAAATAAAGGAGAGCGCCTCGGATCCAAGGACTCCATTTTTTTCCTTAATGAGAAATATGCACTAGCACTGTTATAAGTGGTCTTAAGGATCTTAACGGGTCTGGGATTAGAACCCCCTGAAGGAACACACCTTTGAAATCAGCAGCTGTGAGTGTGGAGTGTGTGAGGTCCAAACTGAGAGGAAGTGCTGTGGGCACCGTGAACAGACTTCAGACTTCAGTCTCAGCCAACCCTCTTCCTGCGCCTTGTGTGTCTCAAGCAGCGGTTTTCTTTTACGTGGCCTCGGAGGAGCCGCAAGAAGGAAGGAACGTCAAAAAAAAAAAAAAAACTCACCGCAATAAAATGAGCTGCAGTGCTGCCATCTAGTGACTTTCACTTTCAACTACAGCCGTTTTTCCCCAAAACAATTTTTAGGGGGCACATTGTGTTATCGGATTTTCATTATCGGAGGAAAAATAGATAACGATTCTTACAGATATTACATAAGTATGCTAATATCGGGCTGATATTATCGGACATCTCCACAAATAACTGTTCTTTTTTTTCCTTTGTTGAAGGAGCTACGTCGCTGTCAGCGGACAGCATGATGAGTCCAGAGGGGAAACCAAAAATGGACGTCAAAGATGACGCGGGTCCAACCAACGAGCCTCACAAACCAAAGGTAACGGTTTGAAAGTCTGTCGTCTTTGATCAGTTTCATGTTTGACGATACGTGGTGACGTGGTTCCCCAGTGTAGCAGTTAGCCTTCCTCGGAGCTAACCCCTGCTGTGATGTATATTAACATTACATTAATTTAAATATATCGTGATAATAGTCGTCAAATGTTGTTGTGATGAATCTATCCAAATAAGGGCATCGGTGAAATTTGATTGGTCAGTGAGAGGTGTCGGTTCTGTTTGGTCATTGGTGAAAAAAAAAAACTCCTAAAGAATTCTTTAATTTTTGTTTTTTATTTACATTTACTCCAAGCACATTTCCCCGTCGTCCTTTACTGTTCCATCTCAAACTCGTTTTTTTTTTTTTCTTTTTTTTTTTCTCCCCCACATAATGAAGCAGACACAGCCAATCAGCGCGCGCTGACTCAGCGCAGCGGGCTAATTCTCTGATGTTTTCCCGCCATATTTAATGATTTGTTTAACATTTACAATTCCTGATGAATTCGTTCGTGTTTTCGCCCCCAGCACTTTCTTCTTTGCTGATGTTCTGCGAGTCCTGACATCTGCAGTACACACACACACACACACACACACACACACACGTGTCTGTACACTGTGCTGACTTCTCATTTCGCCCCACAACTGTAGCTTAGCTGGGCTCAGCAACAACACAACCCTGCTCTTTGCTCTCACCCCCCCCCCCTCCCCTGTGTTTTTGTTTAACAGCCCCCCACTCCCTGCCCCACTCCCTGCCCCACTCCCCGCCCCACCCCCCGCCCCCCCCCCCCCCCCCTTCATCCCCCCTCACC